TTTAATATCAATTTGAGTTCAATTTTCTCTACTTTTCCTCTGTTTCCAACCACACAATTTTCCAGAAATTCAAGCTAACTGAAGCAATGCACTAGAAGTAAGAGTTACACTTAGGATCATAAGAATGTTATGAAACTTTTGGAGGCAAATTTGAATTTGAAAACTTACAAAAACACAATGGAAACCTAACTCTAAGAATCCATTAATGATCTAATAATGGACATGAACTCAAGCATGTAAAGTAAAAAGCACCAAAGCTAAGAAGGAAGTATTCTAGCAAGGTTCACAAAGGAAAGCTCACGGCCAAGCTTATAACACTTGGATTCCTAAGGCTAAGGCTATGCACTCTCGGTGACTTTGGGAGAGAATGGCTAAGGATGAAATTTAGAATTCTCATAAATGTCAAAGTGACTACAAAATGTGAGGAGTTAGACATTTATAGGCCACGGATCAAGGCCAATTAGCGCCAATCAAAGGGAGAGCTTTTGGCGTCGAAAATTCAAATTCAATTTGAATTTGAATTCAAATCTCACGACCAAGCCATGTGCATCTCCATGTGACCGGTCCAATTAGCGTATTAATTACATTTGGATGTAATTTAGGGTTGATTTGCTTAGTCACATGTGCAGCCACCCTTGGCACAAAACATGTGACTCAAATGTAACTCTAATTATTTCTAAATGTAATTGAGATTCTAGTATCCATGACTATTTATGTATTTCCTCTATTACCCTACTCTAATTGCCTAAATACAATGGCCAACCAAATACAATCAATAGGAAATAATAAAAGAAAAAAAAATGAGTGCAATATTGGGTACCAAAACCCAAAGGCCCATAAAGCCCAAAAATAGGCCCATGAAGCTTAAGGCCCAAAATCCTATTCTAAGTGGTCCAAAATACAAGACCAAAAAATGTAAAACCTATACTACTCATTAAAGTTAGTAACATGGTGGTAATTGTAAAGCCCATGTGAAGAGTACCCTAGGCCCACCAAGCCCATTGGGCCCACCAAGCTTTGAAGTAGTCAAATCTTTATGTAACCTCCTAGCCATAACTCTAGTGGTTGGACCTTTGGTCCATGCTTTTCCATCATCAGCAAGGCTTTCTACGGTCCTTCATTAGTGCCTTGGTGTCTTAGCGTTCAGTGGTTGAGCATGATTGATTCTGTTTGGAGCATGAGATTTCGTTTCTCTCATGTATATTGGGAAATAAATAATTGTGCTGATAGCTTAACGAGGTTTGATCATAGACATCTTGATTCTTTTTGCTAGACATCTATTCCTTCTTGTATTGTATATCCTTTCTCTAGGGAAAGGTGTGGTCTTCCACATTATAGGTTCTCCTAGGGTGAGATGTGGATTCCTTTTTGTACCTATTTTTCATATATTTCTAGTGTTATATGTCTTTTTGATATGCTGCAAATGATTGGTGTGGGTTGAGGTGCTAACCTAGTTAAGATCTCTTCCTTATATTGTGATGCCTTAGCATATCTATTCTTTATCAAAAAAAATAAAAAAAAATTCATGTTTTGATGTGGGAATTCTGATCCTACAAGGTTCATATAAACTTTTCTTATTTGTTTTGATAAATTTATTTATAGCTCCCTTTTGTGACTTAATTAAAGCATCAACTTTTTTTTAGTAGTTTTGAATAACCAACTTCATATTTTCTAGTTGACATTTTTAAATAAAACAATTAATGTTTGAAACTATCAATATATATATATATACACACAAAAAATTATAAATCAAGAATACAAAGAAAAGGTTAGGACAATAAAACCTGATTGCTAAATAATTGTTTCACAAAAAAAATTTCTTTAAGGTGCTTTGTCAAATAACTACTTCCACCAATAAGAAGTCATCAATCAAATTTAAATTTAGTAACTTTGAAACATAAATATCCCATATGCATAACATAAGTAAAATTGTTTGAATGAACAAATATATATATATATATATATATATATATATTAAAAAAGTTCATCTGCATAATATAAAATAATTGATTAAATAATAAATTTTTTTAATAATAATTAATGTCTTTAAAAGAAAAATGAAGACATAATATTTATTACTAGATCTATCATAAGAAGATATATTTATTAATTTAAATTAATAAATGATTTTAATTAAAAAATAATATATATTATAGGGTTTAATTTTTTTAAGGAGATCCAAAAGTAAGGATTCATACTTGGGCCAGGCTGCAAATAGCAACAACTAGTTTGGTTTGATTTTTCTCTCAATTTTGAGCTTCTTCTCATAGGCTCATGATATATACACCTCTTTTTTTTTTTTTTTTTTATAAGTACACCTCCTTTTTTAAAAAAAAAAAAAAAGAAATTCCTAAAATATCTATAGTTTTTTTTTTATATTTTAATCTTTTAATTTTACACCTCTAACTTTCAATTTACTACTTTCATCTTTTTTTCCCACACCTTCTTCCTTCTTTCTTTCAGTTTTCACATGCACCCTCTTGTCTGCCTCCAATTCCTCACCTATTTCAGTAGGGGTGTGCAAAAAAAACTGAACCGAGCCAAATCAATCAAAATTGAACCAAACTGATCCAGAAAATAACTGATCCAAATTAAAAATATCCGAACCGAACCAGTTTTTAAAAAATCATTTAACCGAACCGATTTATTTAAAACATATCGGATAAAACCCCTTAAAAAATCTGTTTTAACTTTTTCCCGAGTCCCGGCTACTCTTCTGTGCCCACTACACACTACACACAGTACGCGCGCCTCTCCCGTGCTCTCCTGTTTACGCGGTGAATTGCGAAATGTGAAATAGAGTTGCGTTGGAGTCTCGGCATTTTGTAAGTTGCGATTCTCGCAAATAAAATCACTATTGCGTTCTCTGCCTCTCTGGTTGCTGGTGTTGGACTACTGGTGGTGGCTAGTGCATTTGCTTCTTTACATAAAGCCTATTTCCTAAATTTGTAAATACCTTCCCTTTTTCTTTCTCTTTAATTTAATTCTTAGAATTTTAAATAATTAATTTTTGGTGAGCTTTCAATTTCAGGTACTGCTCTAGAAAAATCCATGGGTGCCGAGAGGTAGTAGGAATCCTTAAATATATTTTGAAATTTGGATCAAAACCGTCGAAACCGATCCATTAATTAGGTTCAATTTAAAATTGGATCAATAAACTAGATCGAATCAGAATCCACTAAATTAATCCATTTAAAAATAAATTGGTTCGGTTTGGATCGGTTTTTTTAAAAAATCGATCCATGCCCACCCCTATATTTCAGTAATTTTAGTTCTTTCAATTTTTATATTACTTTCTTATTTTCTCACCTCTTTCACTTGTTCACATGCACCCAAATCGTAAAACTAGTATGTGACAACATTGTAGGTACGTCCATCTTCTTTGACAATTTCTACCAAACTAGACACACATTTTTTTCTTCCAACACTTCTTTTCCTTTCACCCCTCCAAAAACCTTAACATTAAGTTTAGTGTTATGAAAAATACATTTTCACTATTTTGGAGAACTGTGCGGGATGGTGAAATTAGTGTTTTAGAAAGAATTTCTTGGAAATGTGTTTTTTTACATGATTCTGGAAAGCATTTTCTAAAATAGTAGATTTAGCATTCCGGAAAGTACTTTCAGGAATTATATAAAATAACACACTTTCGAAAAGTACTTTTCGGAATAGTAAAGTTCATATTCTGTAAAGTACTTTCTGGAAGTGTGTTGTTTTACATATTTCCGGAAAGTACTTTCCGGAATACTAAATTTACTATTCTGGAACACTAAATTTACTATTCTGGAGAGTACTTTCTAGAATTATGTAAAAATAACACACTTTCGGGAAGTACTTTCCAAAAACATCAACTTTACTATTCCAGAAGTGTTATTTTTACATAATTCCGGAAAGCACTTTTTAGAACAGTAAATTTAGTGTTTCAAAAAAAGTCTTCATCTTATCTCCAAGAAACTTTATCTCTTTTCAAAATAACAACCAAATAAAATTAGTTACTCACAATAATAATATAAAAACATTATTATAAATATAATTATACAAAATTTTATTGTTCATTTTTAATAATATAACAAAATTTTAATATTCATTTTTAACAATATATCAACATATATTTTTATAATTAGTGTTAATTTTAAACAATATACTAACATATCTTCTTAATTTTGAACAATATATTTTTGGTTACTTTTTTTTAATTTATCAATATTTTTTTAGTTATTAATTGTTTTAAATTATTTTTGTATTGTTAAATATTATATATTGTAAAATTTTAAAATTATTAAAATTTAACAAATATTTATTTCAATAAAATTTAATATTGATATATCAAATTTTTAAACCTGTCTTAAAATATATTTTGATAATTCTACCTGTTAATGAATATCATAAATTTGAATATTTTCAAATTCAATAATATGAATGAGAAAATATAAATGCATAGAGAACTAAATGTAAATAAATATTACTTAAAAAAATAAAAAATCATAATCAATTATTTATTAGAAGATTAAAAAATTTATTGAATTTTTCTTAATTCAAACCATGTCATTCATGTTAATTTTTTTATTAAATATATTATTTTTTAAAAATTCATATTATCCTTTCAAATCTAATAAATTTTTTTCAAATCTTATAAATAATAAATTCATTAAAATTCATATTACAAAATCTTAATTAAAAAATCTATAATAAAATATTAAAAATCATTACATTACTTAAAAGTCTTTTGAAAAATGTCACATCATATGGGACAATTTTGTTTGAATTGTAACCAGATTTCCTTGGAATCTAGATTGAATTCATGTCTATAACTTGGCCCAAAGTCTCTATGTTTATGGCTTGATGATACTTGAGGGTTTGTAGACCCTCGTATCTATGCCTTACCTTGTCCATAATCCAGCGCAAAGACCTTTCTATTCACTTAGACTTTAGTTAAATAAAATAAAACATCAATTACTTTAACTCGAAACTTGAAGAAATTAATTTTGAGAAGAAAAAACTTCACAAGACTAAAATAAGTTACATTTCAATTATACGTTTACATTAAGCACACAAGTAATCAATTGATACGTTAATTGTTACACCAAGCACACATTGTCTTGTGTTCCTCCTGTCCACAAACATTCAAAGTTTGAATGCCAATAGCCACGAATGCAACTTGAATTTTCTTGGCACAAAATTATAATTAGTTGTTGGCCTTGCCATAGGTTCTTGGAAAAGGGATAACGTCCCTAACATTGCTAAGGCCAGTTGTGAATTGGACCATTAGGTCAAACCTTAGACTGAACCCAGAGTTCTCCACTGTTCCATTTCGACGAAGATCTAAGTACCATTCATACTTCTCTCGTGGCAAACCCAACTCATCAATCCTGCCACATACAAATGGAAAGGAAAAAATTTACCTAAGATGTTACCAAGGAAAATGGCTCCATTACTATTCAATTGTTGACGAAACTTTCATCATTTGATACTCCAAAACATTTATGTTTTTATAATTTGATATAATTAGTGTACAAGTGAGAAAGATTCATATGCTTGATACTTTAATATATTGGATTGAGACATAGTGTTAAGTTTACGTGACTTGCTCATAACCTCTTGTGAAGATCTTTCTAGTGTTCAACCCCACTTGTATTTCCAACAATTGGTATGCGGCATTTTGTGGAAAATTAAGGAACAAACACAGCAGTTTTTATGGTTAATCCTGATGATAGTTTGGTTTATCAATAACCAAGTAGATTTATTTTATTATTTCTATTAATGCCTTATTTTTCATCTGTTATTCATAGTTTTCAAATTCTGAACTATGAACAAATTTGTTCTACTGCTTCCCTTATATGGTTACAAGTTAGAAAGTCATGGCACTTCCAAGATGAAGACATAAAAGAGATTAGCAAACTGTAAACAAGCAATACCTGGAGCTTATCTTGTTAACACGTTCCTCGTTTTGGCTACCAGAAATTATTGTTCCAAGCTGCAAAAATTTCTTAGAATATCAACACACAGGAACAACATACAAAGATGTGCCAATCTATCAACAACATAATGCACTAGTACAGTCACGCTTGGCCTTACCTTTGGGACAACCAAGTCAAATGCAGCTACAGTTCCATCATCATTCTGGCGAACGTAGAATGGCTTAGCTTCTTTTGGATAATTATATATCATAATCGGCTTCTTGAAGATGTTATCAGTTAGATAGCTGTCATGAATGACATGAATAGAACCATAAGTAACTGAAGGTAATGCTTCTGCTGTTGCTAGAAATCAGCAAATGCAGAATGTGATGAAGAAAGATAATATCCATATACCTTAGGTGCTCTGAAGTGAGCACAAAACCCGATTCAAAATTTGTTTCAAATTTCTTATCTTCAGCCTGGGAGGACATCTAATATAAAATAATATAAAGAAAGAACATACTTATTATACTTATTTTTATCTTTGAGGAAACAAAATTAGAATGACAGAAATCAAAATGATATATTTTCGTGAAATTTGGTGCTACTTACCTTCCTTAGTATATCTATGGCTTCATTGTAGGGCATTATCTCAGGAGAATCTGATATAATTTGCTGAAGACGATTGATACAGGTTTTGTCAATTCTTTTGGCAACAAACTCCATATCTTCAGAGCACTTTTCCAGAATCCACTTGCAGAGGTACTTGAAAAAGTCATTAGCACAATTCATGGAGTCCTGCAAGTAACGCAAAGTGCATCATGCTACTAAATGATACAAAAACCTACTATCAGAATACAATAATTTTTGTTTTGTAGATGCCCTCGAGTGGAACATAGCATAATATGAGTTCTTTTCTTTGTTATTTGTACTACATTATAGAAACTAGAACAGAAAATGATGTTAAAAGGTGAAACATTTTGGTTCTAATAATAAGGGTAACGGAACCAAAGAGAACAAAAGAGAAAAGGATGTTCAATTCTATTTTATCCATGCATCAAACACTACCTAAAGGAACTTGGAACCAAGCTAATTCAGTAGGATGGATCAGAACCCAGTAGGATGGAAAATAATCTTTAACTAAATACAAGATACTTGAATGTTTAACTAAATAGAAAGATGGTATGTGATAAACCAAGTATATCTTATAAACTAGTCCCGCTGAGGAACAAAAAGTGTTACCTTCAATTGAGAAAAGGCCATTTCAACCTCAACCATCCACATTTCTGCAGCATGTTTAGCAGAATCCGTTTTATCTGCTTGAAATCTAGGACCAAATGAGTAGACATTTCCGAGTGCACATGCATAACTCTCCAGATGCAAGCGACCAGAGACAGTCAAATAAGTTTGTAAAGGGAAAAAATCTTTGGAAGAGTCTACTTTGTCATCCTTTAAAGAAGTTCCCAACTTTCTCTTTTCTCTTGCTTCCAATTGTGATGCCAGTTCATTCGTTTTCCTCAGATCCTGAATTGCAGCAGCCAGGGCTTCCCTATTGCTCTCAGTTCTTTTCAAATGCTCAACTAAGTTGCTTTTCTCTTTTGCAGCTGCCTTCACATGCTCAAGGTTAACACCTTCAATCTCATAAATGGTACCTAGTTTCTCCTCCTTCTCTGGTTTCTGATCCAGGATGGTAACCAGGAACATGTTGCTAAATCCTTCAGAGTCTGTGGTAGTTATAGTGGGTACTTGCACATCAATAAATGCATGTTCATTGAAAAATGTGTGGGTTGCAAAAGAGAGAGCACTACGAATCCGCATCACAGTTGCCACCTAATATGAGCCACACGATATGAAATAATAAATAAAAACAGATCAAGGTTAAACTTCTCATTATGTAAAACAAACTATCATAAAATAAAAAATAAAAAAAATGACTTATTGCACGACTTGCAAACCATGTTGTTGAGAAATATGTACGATGGGGGAACAACTATCAGTAAAATGCAATCAACAAGCATCTGATCTTATTACAACATATATTCATGTAGAATAAGGTGCTATGTAAATTGCTGCATTTCAGTTACATAAAAAAAATAAATAAATAAATAAATAAAAAAACAGAAAATGGCCTTCCTAGTAATGTCCAATATTTTTCCTAAACTTATTACTCCTTCAAATCTTATGAATTACTATACTCATTACTAACATTATGTTACCTTCTCAGAAAACTTTCAAATCTCCAAGGATACTACATGTAGCTAAGAACAATATTCATAACCATTGATAAATAATATATGGTAAGGTACAGAAGAACCAAATTATAAATATGGCAGGTCATGTCATGCACATTCAACAACTCAACCGAAAAAGCTATCTTCTGTTATAAAAGTAAAACGTTGTGCTTAGTTATAAGGAACAAAGGAAAAATCAACAGTGATTAGCTATGTCAGTTGTAAGAAAATCTGATGTGTTAACATGTAGAACATTCCAGGAATGTAATGAGAATTTGTCAATATTAAAAGTGATTTTAATTTCACCGTAGTTGTTCGAGGCCGAAACTGGGAGTGATCTCTCAACATTTCTAGTGGAATTCGTTTCTTTGATAATGGGTACTTGTCAAAATCTACTGTCCCAATGTGAAGAACTTTTTCAGCTTTAAGCTCAATAGCATGCTTCCCCTCTGCTGCTTCTACTTGACCTTCCACTAATAGACACGTTCCAGTAGGCAGAATCCGGCTAAGGGTAGTTACTGAGGAATCAACAACAACCTGAAAGTATTTAAATAACAATAAGAAACATGGAAAAAAAAAAAATTATGGAATTTTTTGACAATATAAAGGGATTGTATATTATCCTTTATTAACAGTCTGTTAAAATTAAATGACAGCTACTTTGCTTTATGAAAGCCATCAACTTGTAACTTTAGGCACATAAATAAGCCATAAATTCCCAACTTGATGATTTAATATCGAAGGAAATTTATGTTTAGAAGTAAAGTATATATGTCAAGTCAAACATGTTTTGTAAATTTTTTGGTATATTTTGAGAATACGTTGATCAGAACCAAAGGCCTTTAATTACATTCAACGAAATTATATGCTTTCTGTCTTGTAGTCAATCTGTGAAGTTTAAATAGAATCACGAGTTTTAATTCCCGAGATTGTTCAAGATTGGCAATGTAATATTTTTTTACTAAAAATATTTTTATAGTGCTTTACTTCTAATGAAAAAGGTGGCTTTTTTTTGGTTTTTATAAACACAAAGGTTTGTTTTTCTTCAACAATAATTTGTCTCCAGTTATATATATATAAGAAATAAATGAGAATATTATTTTAGTCTGATTAATAATTAGCATAACTTTACCTTTAAATGTATTAGAAATAAATGAGAATATTATTTTTGTCTGATTAATAATTAGCATAACTTTACCTTTAAATGTATTAGAAATAAATGAGAATATTATTTTTGTCTGATTAATAATTAGCATAACTTTACCTTTAAATGTATTAATTTATTATTTTTTTTATACTCTTAACTTATTATGAATCTATTAATGAATCATTAACTCATTTTTATTATAAATGTAGGTATATATATTTAACTACTATAAATCATCTTTGAAAAAATATTTTTTTTCTTTGCTTTTCCATGTATGTCTTAAGGCTTGTACCCAATTCTTAATTGAAAAAAAAAACTATTCTTTGATTTATAATTAGTGTGATTAAATATAACTATCCTAACATTATTTAATTCCATGTATTTTAAAATGAAATTTTAAATTACGACATTATTATTTAAAACTTGCTAATTTAACTAATTCTATGAATTTCAATACTATATAAGTGATATGCTTTGTAAAACTTAATGTAGTATCCCGGAATATTGGACATTTTAGAACGCACTCTAAAGCAAAAATAAAAAATGCAGAAGAAAACAGAGACGAAACCTGAAGGCTCGGAACGCATGAGCCATCGGTGAGAAGCAGATACGCAGTAGAAGCTTTGGGAGGCAGGACCTTAGTCTGAGGCAAACTCAGAGACTCACGTTTCTTGCGCTGCCCGTGACCGCTTCCTCCGAACACATCGAATATGCTCTTAATCAGCGGTATCCTCGACTGCAGAATCTCCACGCACGACACGTCCTTGCTCCTCCCTCCTTTCTCGCCGACGGCAGCATCATCCGTGTGGAGCCACGGATGTGCCGCTGCCGCCGACGAATTCTCCACCACCTTGGCGGACTTCACCCATCCGCCAACTACCACGCGCTGCCCCAGTGCCAGCTTGGGCCGCTCCAGTAGTATCCTGAGCTGGGCTCGGCCCGAGTACGCGAGGGGCAGCGCGGGGGTGGTGGTGTGGAGGGAGGTGTGTTGAGGAGTTGATGTTGTTGGTGGTGCTGCCATTGGAAAGCGTGAGGAGACAGAGTGTGTTTGTTGGTGTGAGTGGTGGGAAGGGAAGAGGCATGGTGGTGATATAGTGAGGAGAATGATGCTTTGCTTGGGGAGGGTTTTGAGGTTTGAGGGAGAAGGAAAGGGATTGTTTCGTTGGTGAGATTGAGGAAGAGGTTTGGTTTGGTTGGGTTGGGTTTGTGGTGCTGTGTAGTGTTGTGTTGTGTTGGGTTTGGTATTCTTTCGTGTTCGGTAATTTAGGCGGGAACAAGTCTACTATGTTTGCCTACATCTGTTCAAAGCAAAATACGAAACCTATCGGCTAATAACTCTCAAATCGTACTATTTATAATTTTTTTTCTTTTAACATAGACAAATTGTATACAGAAAAGAAAAAGTTAATTATTTCATCAATATCAATTTATTTTTCTTTCTTTAAACAGAGATATGAGGGTTTTTTTTTCCTTAATAATAATAATAATATTGATATATATAAAGTTAATTCTTATTTTAGTGTATATAATGTGACAAGTTTATCCCTTCATAAATATTATATAAATTATATGATAGAAGATGAAAAGACTTTTTTGTAAAATGTTTTACTTTTAAAACTATTGATTACCACATATTATTCTACTA